TGGTGGCGGCGGCGGCACATCAACTCGGGGCCATGCCGCTCGAGGACGCGGCGGGCGGGGCCGGCACGGGGTTGAGTGCGGCCGAGGCCGAGGCGGAGCTCAACGCGTTTGAGAACAGGGAGCTCGAGCCGTTTGTCAAGCCCATCTGTGACATCTTCCTCGAGGTGTTTGAGCTCAACCGCGGCAACAACTGGCTGCGGGGGCGGGCCGTGGTGGTGGTGCTGCACCAGCTGCTGGGAGGGACCATTGAGCGCAAGCTGCGGGACAATGTCAAGACGCTGGTGCAGGAGGAGGCGGTGCTCAAGTACGTCGGGCTCCTCAAGGAGGGGCTGTGGCCCGGGGGCCGGTCGATGACGGGCGACAAGGAGGGTGGGGGCAAGAAGCCGCGGACAGCGGCGGAGAAGGCGAGGACGCGGACCGAGGCGAGCCTGATGCTGGCGACGTTGGTCCCGGACCTGGCGGGCAACGTGGTGGGCCGGCTCAACGCGCAGGCAGCCAGCCGGAGGATCTTTGCGACGCTGAATAACTCGAGGCTCAAGTACGGCCCTTCTCCTCCCTTATTTGCTCCGGAAGATGTGGCTGACGATGACTCTACAGTGCCCACCTCGCATTCACGTTCCTGGATGAGGTTATCGATATTCTGTTTGATGAGAAATGATAGGGTCAACTGGTTCCTGGTATCATAGGGATGATTGGGCTGGGGGAAGGAAGGTGGAGGAGGTTCTGTTTGCATAGCCGATGGCGTTGGGTCCCTTTGTCCCCCCTTTTTTTCATATTAGTCGTTCACCACCCACTTAATGTCTTGTGTTAGAAGGTTGTCGGGACTCGGGATGGCGAGACGGAACTATCCATCTTGCTGTCAGCATATGCAGCGAGGTGCGTTGGTGGTATGGGGCGAGGCGTGGGGGGGTGGGGCAGGAAGCCGTGCTGTGAGGGTGATGAGAGGCTGAAATGTCTTTACGGCGTGGATGGTGTGCCCGATAGAGCGAGCGACTGAGGGCCGTTGAATGGGTGGCGGTGGAGGGATTGGTGCGGAATAAAACACATCCCCACGAGGTCCTGTCTTGATCGGGCCCGTCGTGCATTCCCCCGCGCCGGCCGGTAGCTGGCGGAGAGGCAAATGGCATGGCTGAAGTGGTCCAAGACCTCGGGGCCGAGCTGGAGGCCATTCCCAGTCCTGGTTCGCGGGTGGCGGCCCGTCGAGAAGCCCCAGCGAACGGTTCAATCATCTCCACAGAAGGGCGTCAGAGAAGCCAGGAAAGGTCCAAGATACCAATTGCAGTCTGGACCTCTCGGGCTGTGCCAATGGCCAATTAATTGGGCGTTGGGCGTGAAAGGTTCGAATCCCCCAGATGGTGTGCTCGCCGTGTGCTCGCCGCTGTGGTGTTGTTGCACAGCACTCGGCGAGCTCTGAACAGAGGCGACCGATGCTGATGCGTTGCGACTCCCAAACGTCGCCCATTCGCTGGAGCCACACCAGTCACCAGTGACACCACAGGCGGTCCAGTCGCTGTGGACGGGCAGGGCTGCTGTGGCTTGCGGCTCTCGTCCAATTCGCTAGATGCATCCCCCGCTTTGGCGCTAGCGTGACCGCGTCGCTTGCTCTGTCCAGTGGGCCAGCTCTGCCAGTGCCGGGCATTTCTCCAACCGCCACTCCTCATTCGCCCATTTTCCCTTGCTGCAGTCGCTGCACAAGGCGCGACGACACCTTCTGCGCTTCTCCTCGATTCCTCACCTCCACCCCTCCCCCCCCCATTTTCTCTCGACTCTCATCCCCCATCCCCCCTCAACAAGCAGCCTCATCGAGGAAGAACTGACCTTGCAGCGAGGCCCAACCCATCCCCAAGGTACGCACGTCACGGCACATATATTTCTGGATCCTCTCCCATCTGCGCGCTTCTCCAAAGGTCCCCCCATTCTCCGCGGCCGGAAAAAAATTGCGTCAGCTGCCGCAAGGCTCCCTCCCACCTACCCAGGTAGCTTCCAGCTTCCATCCACAACACCGGCCCGCCGATTGACCCTCCATTTTTTGGCTCTGGCTTTCTGGACGCGCATGCTTCCCCAAACCGCTTGCCTCCGTCCAACGCCCCGATTTCCCATCCATCCCCCAAAGCCTTCCAACCTCCTCCCTCCAGCTCCTCCCATCCGTACCTGCGGACTGTGGACTGCGGACCACAGGCGCCCCATCCACCTTTGATCCCTTTCCAATCCACGAGCGTGGGAGGCGTTCCGCAATTGACCTTCCTGGATCCCAAACCTTCCGCCCGATCCTCCCACCTTTCTCACACATCTTGTATCTGGTAGGACCCGACCCGAGCTATCGACAGACAACAATCTACAACAATCCCTGGCCAGCTGCCCACCATGACCGAGGTGTCCAGCACACGCCTCTACCTGGGCAACCTGCCGCGGACTGGTGAGCTTCTCCCCCCTTCGAGGTCGCCCGGAACGGATCCCGCACTCGTCGCCGCGTGTGCGCAAGCAAGGACTGTCGCCTGACTCCCCGCCGGTAGCTACCAAGGCCGATGTTGAGGCCCACTTTGCGACCCATGGCACCGGCGAGATTGTCGAGATCAAGCTCATGAATGGCTTCGGCTTCATCGAGTACAAGGATGCTATGGACGCCCGTGATGTTGTGCCCGGTAAGCTTCCCTCCCCTCTCTCTTGCACCCACCCCCGCACAAGACAGGTTGACTGACCAGACGCGTTGTGCTGCAGCTTTTCGTACGTCGAGACACTCCCTCCCACATCCATATGGATCGCCCATACCCTGCTCCGCGCCTCGTTGTTTCAATGGCTAACCACAGCCGGTGCTTGAAGATGGATCCGACTTCATGGGCGAGCGCCTGACAGTCCAGTTCGCCAGAGGCAATCGTCATCGAGAGGCAGGACCCCCCGGGTTCAATGCCCGTGAACGCGGCGATGCCCCCCGGCCCCGACGCACCCCTCATCGTATGGCGATCAGCGGACTCCCCGCGGAAACCAGCTGGCAGGTCTGTTCACCCTCCCACTCTCTTGTCCGCGGATAGTTGCCCGGCCGTACCGCACCTCTCCCCCAAAGGCCTTTGAGCTCCAGGCCATGCTCCCCACGGTACCATTGTTGGAATCTCCCCCGTCTCCAGTTTTGGTTATCCTGCTGCTCGGCTCTCGCTCCAGCATCCGCGAAAACAGGCAGTCTTGGGACCAAAGGGGAGGTGCTGTTTCCGGCGGCCTCCGGCCTGTTCAGTCTCTGCCTTCCAACTCAACGGCTCTGGTCTCTCCCTGTTGTTGCTGCGTGGCCCAAGAAGCCCCGTGGCACAGACCAGGGTTTGCGCCATTATGATCTTGATGGGACGCCATTCCATTATTTCCGGACACCCACTTACAGGAGCTCTGCCTCTAGGACCTCAAGGACTTCGCCCGGCAGTCTGGATGCGATGTGGTTTACTCCGAAACGGGCAGAAATGGCAACGGAGAAGGGTATGTTCTGTCCAGCGCAAGACAGCGAAGTGCATATACTGACTTTGATAGCTTTGTCGAGTTTGAGACGGCACCCGATCTTCGCAATGCCGTAGAGAAGCTCGACCAACGCGAGTTCAAGGGTCAGCGTGTCACCTGTGTTGCCAACGTAGGGTTCCTTGTTCTGTCTCGCTGGTTTTTTTACTGACCTCTCTTAGACTCAACCGGACATCCCACGTGGTGACCGCACTAGGTCGCGGTCTCCCCGCCGCGCGTATGCCCCTCCGGGCGGTGACGAGTACCGACGCGGACCTCCCCCCCGCGCCGGATACAGCCCTCGCCGAGAGGGTGGTGGTGGTGGTTACCGTGAGGGCTACCGTGAACGCTCCCCGCCGCCGCCGCGAAGGGACTACTACAACGATCGCCGAGGTGGCTATCACTCTCCTCCGCGCCGCGGTCCGGTGGATGACTACCCGCCTCCTCGCCGCTACGACGAGCCGTACCGCGGCGGCGGCCCTGGCCCTCGCGACTACGCTCCTGACCCATACATGAATGGGCGCGATCCTTATGAACGTCGCCCACCTCCCCCCGAGTTTGCTCCGCCCCGGGATGCTTACCCCAGAGAGCCCTACCCTCCTCGCGACTACGACCGCCGCTACTAGAGGAGGTCGCCATCCACGGAACGGAAGCTCGAGGAAATTAGGCAGATGCTTCCCGAAGGCTTTGCCGGTCGTCCTCGCAAAAAGGCCTAGTTGCCTTCACTCTGCGACCCATAGCTAACAGGCGGCTGGACAGTCGCCGTTTTTGGTGGAAGGATACGGAGGTAGTCGCACAAAACCCCTCTTTATGGATTGGAAGCAAGAAAAAGTTGTAGGCGGTATCCGTTATCCGTCATGTCTCTTTTCCAGCGTGGTGGCGGGTTCGTTTGGGGCAGGGTTGTCGATTGTCTCTTTTGGGGTTGCGTTTTGGGATCGATTAAGCAGTGAGGATGCAGTTTCATGACTCTGTTCCCAGGGCGCACGAGCTCTACAGCGAGAGGGAAACTCAATGCGATGAACACATGGTCCAGAGGCTTTGAGATGGCTGCATTTGTATGAGTGCTGTGTCGATTGCCTTCCTGGCATGGGGTGAGTTGTGCCGTACCTCTCCTGTCGCCTCGAGTACATGACTGTTTCGTCTTGCCCACGCTTTACTCGGCCGATTACTATGGACTGTTGCCCGACATTTGGTCCATCCAAGAGGGCGGAACCAGGTGGCAGCGGCCATGGAGGATGGCCTCAATCTGCAGCTTCTCCCATGATCACATGGTATGTGTCTTCGTTGCATTCGCCTTTCCCTGGTGGCAACACCTCTCTACACGATGAGGGAGAACTATCACATCTTCCAAGGGGCGGACGGGGTCCAAAGATGCTATCTCTTCCACGCCGTGGATATATGATGGCGAGAAGCGAGGGAGGGGGGAATCTGGGTTGAGGGCCAAAAAGCAAAAGGAAACAGCCCGAAATATGACGGAAGAAGGGACACAGGAGGGGTGGGCAAAAAGAGAACACAAGTTGTACAACTGCCCAATGACAGGCTTGAACTGTCGACTTTCGCATGACCAGATACATGGGGTATGTATTAGTACGACACTCTGACCAACTGAGTTAATCGGGCTTTTTGTTGTTGCGGTGGATGTTGGTGGATGGGGCTGGGCGGAAGGGGCTTTTGTATGGCACGCTGTGTGGTTTTCTGCGCGTGGGTTGGGGTTTTCATTGTGGATGGGAGGTGGATGCATCATGGATGACGTCTTGGAGGTAGGAGGTGGGTGTTTTGAGGCACTGCGACGGGAAGTCGAGGGTTGACCGTGATCGATGGGGGGCTTGCACGATGGGGTTGAAGGGGAGTCAATTTCTTTTCCAGCAAGCTTGCAAGCTGCTGGGAACCTGTAGATATATTTCTCACACCTCGAGGAGTCCTTCGGAGTAAAAAGATCCATGGAGTTTTCGTCTGCCAAAGAGAATATCCACCGTGCAGCAAAGCCCTTGACATCCACACCCACCCCATCCGTCCCACCCAAAGGTCGTCCTGCGGCCTACCCAATTCATCAACAAGGGCTTGTGGTCTAGTGGTATGATTTCTGTTTTGCAATGTCACCCTCGGGTTGTACATTCCAAGTTCTACAGACGGTCCCGCGTTCGATCCGCGGCTGGTCCATCATGGCAACACTTTGTCGTTCCCCTGCACCAAAACACTACGGTGAATGCTTCACATTCACACATTATCTTCCGTAGTATAGTGGTCAGTATGTGAGCTTGTCATCATCCTCTCCTTGTGGAGAGGAAGCTACTCGCTCGAGACCCGGGTTCAATTCCCGGCGGGAGAGAACACAGTAAGGGAATGCGGGTGTTGTTACTTTTTTTGTTGTTTTGCTACCCCTGACACTCCCGAGATACTCTTTTCTTCGACTCCGACTACTGCCAGCTCTGTCAACTTGAGAGGGTCCGCGAGCCAGCCCTAGACCGTACCGTGTCGATACGCTCGGCCCTAACTGTGTTGGCATGTGAAGAGCGATTATATGTATAATATACAGCAATACTAACGGCAGACGTCATGGCTCTCCTTTTCTATGTATAAATTATGGGTTTCCTGCAGCGGGTGCAACCAATGTACCTTTGGGCGGACATTCGCGAAGAGTTTACCCCCGTGTCCGTCCGATTAAGGTTTTGATGTACCAAGGCGCCTTTGTCAACACCCGCCATGCCGTAGCTACATGACCGTGGGGGAAAGCGTCCTTCACATGTCATCGAGAACGGTGAAAACACTTGAAGGCTGGGGATGTCCCGGGGGAAGGGAGCTGCGTAGTCCGGCCGGGCGGGATTCGCGTCCGATATGCCGTCTTCTCCGTCCAAGGCTCGACTCCGCGTCTCTTTCCCTTTCCCCAGACCGCTGCTCGTTCACGGGGCTGGTGTCGGGGGAGGGGGTCGGGAAGAGACGGAGGCTATGACGTTGATCTTTTCAGTTGAGCCCCGTCTGTCCAAGACGTCCCACGTGGTCTTGAGGTATCCACGGCCGCCTTGACCTCCGTTGTTTCGGGACTCCGTTGCGGTTCCTGAGAAGCCGAAAAGATGCAGGGACCTTTCAAGAGGGACACCGGGCGGCAAATGATGATGGGTCCGGTAGGTCTAGTTCAAGCATCTAGTTCATGCGTTGAGCTGTTTTAAGGAGATACAGGGCAGGCTTGTTGACAGCAAATCCTGCGGGCAGATGGTGGGTTTGACCTTCGGGGCCGAGATGTTATCCAAACGGCTAACACGTTGGAACCTCGGCCGATAGTGTATTCCGAGAAGGTATCTCGACATCTAGATTTCTTGTGGCCTCGAGATCAGCAAGCGTGTCCGGGGTAGTGCATCCACATGGCCCTCGGGGACACCATCCCCGATCCCGTCCTTGACATGGACAAAACTGGGGAAGCGGAGATGGCAGGAAGGTACCAGTGACAAAGGGTGATGATGTACATGTTCAAGGCGGCAGCGATGATGCTAAACCGACGCCCCTGGGCGGGTCAGTTGGCGGATCCCGAGGCTGACAGCCGCGTTGGAAGAGGTTTGAGCCTCGGAACCGGTCCACCGTTTGCCACGGGGAGAGTGGGAAGGAAAAAGGGGCAGAACAACAACAAGGCCTTCTGGAAGATCCCGGTAGCCCACAAGGCTGGAGGCGGCCCGTTTCCGGACGAGAGGCAAGAGCCGAGGCTCGCCCGGCCGGGGAGCCGGAGGCGGTCGTCCGCCGAGAGCAAAGGCCCGATACCTCCCGAGGCCCCGCAATTCCGCCGGAAGCTGACATAACTCTTGTTTCCGCATCCGCGGAGGAGAGTCCGGTTTGGGAGGGCGGACCGCGATGTTGTGTCATGAGAAAAAGACTTGATTCTGTCAGATTTCACATTGGTCGGGAACCACTGTCTCGTCGTGTTCCTGTCGCCATGCCCAAACCTCGACGGTTGGGGGTGGCCCCGGCTGAGCCCATTGGCAGAGGATGTCCCGAGCGACTCTCTGATATATGATATTTTGGGACGGGACCTAATTGCTGTCCTGTACGATGCTGTAAAGGTGCTGTGAAGTCGAGGCCTCGAGGGGCCAATCAGACTCTGGGATGGTTGGTCATGACCACGGATATATCTGTCCCACCCCTTCGAGTTCCGATCGGAGCTGTTTGGTAACGGACTGTGGCCCAGAGCCCAGACCCAAGGCAACCCCAACTCCTGTTGTCGATGATGCTACCATTGCTCGAGGCCGATGGTTCCGTGACTTGGTGACTCTGTCGCCGACCAAGCGGCCGGGCCAGAGCCAAGGGCCGAGGGCCAATGGAATTTGGAGTATTCATGGTGAAGGTCGGTCGACAGCAAGGAAACGGGCATCGAGGGGCCAGCATGGCAAGCGAGAGATGCAGTCATAAAAGTCGGTGAGGCAGATACGGACCTTGTGATTTGCGCAGAGACGGCAAAGGTGGACAAGAGGGAACCAGCCCTCATGCACCCGATAACACCTTATCGCAGGTGTGTCCCCTCCATAACCCTCGTTTGCGCGGGGCTTCCGTTGCTGCCTCGCAGCACATGCGGCGCCGGGGGTTGACGCGATCCAACCGAGCTGCATCTGATGCATCCCATGGGGCTGTTTGTGATCACTGATGACCGGGCCCAGAGGTAATGGTAAATTCTGTAAATAATTCGTAAAAAAATGCCCCCCTTCAACATGATCGACCGTCACACTCTTTTCATCTTACCTACCTACAGTGGACACCCAAGCCCTATGCGGCGGTACGGTGTCCGTACATACCGCTGCAGCCACGAAACGCACCTCTCTCACCATCGGACCTCCACCACTCCCCCTCCCCTCCCCATTCCGTTCACGAGAACCGCCTCAGCCCAGGTAGGAAACGTTGAAATGGCAGCACGGCGCCTTTTCTCATCTGATAAGGGCGGCTGGCCCCGTGTATTGACGCCCCGGCCGAAGATCAATCGCACTTGGCGCACGCCTGGGAGACGGACGATGAGATGAAGTCCTGTCCCTAGCCCTATCACGGCGGCTGTGACGGTGTGTGACAGTGACCCCCATTGGAGTCCAGCCCATCCATCACAAGACTGCTAGCAGCATCTCAAACCCTCGTCGGTTTCTTTTCTCGTCTGCCCTCCCTCCTTTCCCTCCCCGGGGGCTGACGTGTCTGTGTCTGTGTCTGCTGTTCGACGCCAGCAAACACACCCCTTTCACCTCCGGGTTGGGCTGCGCTGCGCGTCGGGCGGAGGCATGGCGACCGCCATGTACCAAGACAGTCGCGAGAATATGGCAGCGGCATTCGTCGGGGGCGAGGGAGGGTGGGCGAGACGAGGTGAGAAGCCGCCCGAGGCGGTGATTCACCGACTCTTCTCTTGCCTCATTGCACTGGGTGCACTGGAAGGGCATTTTGTCGTGCGCTGCGGAAGGAGGGTAGGTGCTGTGGCAGCCGCGGCAAGGCTGAGTCGCTGTCGACAAGAGAAACGGACTCCCACTCAACCCATGTCGTCACCGTCGCTGTCGCCGTTGCGAAAACCGGATTTGGACACTGTGGTCCAGCAAGCCAAACCTCCCCACCAATATCCACGATACCAGATTCCTCTTACCGATACCCAGTCGACAGCATGGGAGATAATAGCGTCCTCGGGTTACAAACAGCAAACATGGAAGCTCCGGATGTATCCAAAAGACCATCGTATCAGGTCGTCACGCCCAGAGTCCCAGGCCCGGACCTCAAGTCCCCAAGCGAGTGTGATGGATTCATTTCCTTGCAGAGCGGTCTTGCTCTCGGACGTGTTGGACCAAGTCGGTTCGGTTCGCAATCCGCGGTCGCGAGAAAAATGGAAGCGAGGGGCACCTGCAAAAAGAGATCAGACAACCCGTCGTCTTCCCTTCCTGCAACCGCATTTGCCTCCGGTTGACCCCGGCCTCGGGCGGCAGGGTCTGCTCTCCACCCAGACGTCGAGGGCGGTGAGGCCTTTTTTCTCTTCATCCCGTTTGCTCGCCAACTTCTGTGAACTTTGAAGGCGGGGTCGTCGACGGCTTGGACGGCTTCCGCGCATGGACGTGGACCAGGCAAACAGAAGACGGGAAGAGACAGAGACTTCTTCCCGCCTCGTCGCCAGACTTGGACTCAGTGCCCAACCCCCCATTGTTGACTGACGGGATCCATGACTAAAGAAGACTCGCTCAAAGGCACAATATCAAACACGCGCTGCAAAAGAAACTGCTAGCCACAGCGGACAGAACAGCAATGACCCGCATCCTCCCTCCCTCCCTGTCATCAGAGGCCCACGAATGACACAGTCCTGCACCTTTGCGACAAAACGGACCCTACCTACATACAAACCACATCGGAAGTCGATACCTCTGCCAGTCCCAGTGCCCGGGAAGGGAAGCGGCATCGGGCCAGACGTAGATCTCACCCCTGCTGCAGACAAGAACAGACAGACAGACCGCAACTTTGAGGTTTGACTTGCATGTTGGGAAACAACAAACGGATTCACGTGCTTGAGGTGGTCCAGACATGTGCGGGCCATCAACCGGACCAACTCTCTCAACCTCAGTCCTGACAACCCACCACCTACCAGACACCATCAAACTGGCACCTTCCAACAAGCGGCACTTCCC